TAAACCTTCACCTTCTTCTTGAAGTTGAGGAAGTAGTTGGCTTGGTCAATGAAGAAGAACTCCAGAGCAGACCGGCGGAGGTTGTACCGGCGGAGGTGCAGTTCCCGCAGCTGAGACAGGGGGCGCTTGAAATCATACCCGATCCCTGGGTTGGGGGGGGCAAAAGGGGGCACAGCACTTAATCTCTCATATACAGACAAGCAAAATGGATGCAGTGCATGCTCAGTTTTTCTAGCTTCTCTTCCCCCTTCCCACGTAGCCAATCTTGGCAGCTGAGCCACAGTTCACCACCAGCCAGGGATTACAAGGAGGAAAGACCCCCTGCTCTTTGAGCGGGGGACGCCAGACCCCGGAAGGCAGAGGAGGGGCTTCCTTATGATTGAGGCACGAGCCAGAAGTCAACAACCTTGAACAGATCACCCCGATCCCACCCCCCACACAGAAGATGGTTCACTCTGCTGAAATGCGTTTGCTTACATTCTTTCCGGGGTTCACAAGTCGGAAGAGATACACCAACCAGGAAAACAAACACACACAACATGTGAGAAACCAGACCTACTTCAGTCCTCTGCCTGGGCTGATTCTGGAGATCAGGGCTTTTTTTGTAGAAAAAGCCCAGCAGGAACTCATTAGCATAATAGGCCACACCCTGACAGCACAGCTCATTAGCCTTCCCTTGGCTTGCCTGGGTGCTCTGCGACTGGACAGGCCAGGGAAGGCACAGGGAGGCAGGGCCCCCCATGGCCCGCCTGCCTTGGAGTCGCCGGGGGGGGGGGAGGTCGCTCTCCAGGCCTTCCCTCTGTAGCCACACACGCAGAGGTTTTGGCTGTAGTGGGCGTGGCCAATTCTGAAGCCAGCCGGAACCCCGTTCCTGTGCGTTCCTGCCCAAAAATAGCCCTGCTGGAGATGAAACACGCTCTTACCTATTCAGGTATCATTTTTATTCCACCTGCCCTTTAAGGAAGTCAGGGCGGCAGTCACTGTTCTCCTTTTCATCCCCACAACAGGCCTGCGAGGTAGGTGAGGATGAGAGTGACTGTTCCCAAAGGCCCCCCCCCCCCCAGCAAGTGTCATGGCTGAGTGCGGCCTTGAAACTGTGAGGAATTTCAGACAGACGATATAATCCGCAAGAGGAACGGGAACGGTTCCGAAACGGTTTCTGGTCTGTCATTTCAGACAGAACCGTTTTAGAACCGGTTCCCTACCGGAATATATTTGTAATTTAACACACAAACGCTTCTGTCCCGTTTAGGAAACGGGGCTGAAGCGTTTTACCTGTCAACCGCTTCCAAGTAGTCTTCAGTTTCCTCTCCCAGTTCCGATGTGCTTTTCCCCGCCGTTTTCCGCCCACCGCCTTTTTTTTTGGGGGGGAACGTTCGCTTTATAGTGCTATAACGCTATAACACAACAGCATTATATCAACCCCATTGGAATGTCTGGAGTGTTGTGATATAGCACTATAGCGCTCTAAAGCGAACATTAAAAAAAAAAAAAGCCGGAAATCGCCCGTGCGGGCGAAAAACGGTGGGGAAAAAGTGGGAAAAAGCAGTGCAGTCTGAAATGGCAAACCGCTTCAGATCCTATACCGGTTTACTCCACGACGAATCAAAAATGGCTTCAAAACGAGTTAAAAAGGGTAATGTGAAATTCCTCTACGTCGCCCAGATCCTAGCTTCTCAATGCTTCCTCTAAGCTGTGGAGTCTTGTGAGCAAAAATCCTAGTTTGTAAGCTACTGGCAAAAATCCTAGTTTGTAAGCTACTGGCATGAAAGTTGTGACTGAGCAATTTGGCCACTGCATAAATTAGTTTGCTCTGGAGCCACCCTTCCTGAGCGAAGACAGAAATGTTTGAGCCGGAGGCTAAAAAACTGTGAGCTAGCTCACACAAATTCAGCTTAGAGGGAACACTGGACACAACTATCTCTCTATGCTGGGCCTGACCCTTGTAAGTCACACCACACTGTACCACAAACGTGTCTCGAATGTTCCCAGGCCCGAAAAGAACACACGAGCGAAGTGCTAGTGAGGAGAATAAAGTTCTTCAGCTATTTATTGCAACAAACAGGAAAAGAGTTTTAGGCCAAAGTTGCCTGTCAGAAATTGACTGCTTTCTATCCCTGAACCCCGAGTGCTTTAAACTTTATAAGCAATCTCTGCCAAATCCGAAGTGTCAGTTTTACTGCTGGGGGTTGGTTACAGTGAGGGGGAATGACTGTTGGTCACTACCAAGAACCTAGTCTTGATTGGCCCCAGACTGACATGCGGGGCAGAAAGGGACCACAGCAGGAACACAATTCACTCCGTTGACTACCCCAGCTGCAGAGCATGCTGGGAGACAGGGGTCATTTCCTGCAGGAGCGCACAGGAGCGGAGCTCCGGCAGTAAAGAGCCCAGGGGACGGGCACATGCAACAAGCGCCACCCCCTGCTGCCAGCAGCCCTCAGTCAGAGCAAGAAGCAGCCAGGTAAGTTGCAGAGCCCCACCCCGGCACCCCGGCCCAAAACAGTCCAGTGGCACCTTTAAGACCAAGTTTTATTCAGGTACAAGCTCTCCCTCCTCTGTGACGACATATCTGCACGTTCCCCTCCCCCAATAGCTAGCAATCCAAAACAGTCCAGTGGCACCTTTAAGACCAGGTTTTATTCAGGTACAAGCTCTCCCTCCTCTGCGAGGACAGATCTGCACGTTTCCCCTCCCCCCCAATAGCTAGCAATCCAAAACAGTCCAGTGGCACCTTTAAGACCACGTTTTATTCAGGTAAAAGCTCTCCCTCCTCTGCGAGGACAGATCTGCACGTTCCCCCTCCCAATAGCTAGCAATCCAGAACAGTCCAGTGGAGCCTGCCTGAATGGTGGGTGTTGCCTTCTGATCACATGTCCGGTGATGTCAGGGGGTGGGGCATATGCAAATAAGTTATGCTAATGATTTATGCTAATGAGCCCCTGCCCCTCTTTTTCTACAAAACGACCCCTGCTGAGAGAGATGGACGGACACACACACACACCGCCGATACCTTCCTCGGTCTCCTCCTTGTCACTGCTGCCGTCATAGAAGTAGAGGTGCTGGGTGGTGACCTCTAGGCGTCCCGGGACCACGGCCACGGTGGTGATGAGTTCGCAGTCCTCCGAGATCACCAGCTTCTCGCGCTGACTCTGCTCCTTGTTCTCCACCCTAGGAGGGACGGGAGGCTGGCGGTCAGCATCGCCCGGAGCGTGGCCTAGAAGCCACCCCCTCCATCGTTCCCAAAGCCCAGCAGCCTGGGGGAGGCCCTCGCGTTCTACGCACCCAAAAGGAAGCACTTCTTTGCCCAGCGCATAGTTAATTTCACAGAATCAGAGTTGGAAGTGACCTCCGGGGTCCTCTAGTCCAACCCCCTGCACAAGGCAGGGAATTCACAAATACCTCCCCCTCCATACCCCCCCGGTGACCCCTGTCCCATGCCCTTAAGATGGCAAAAAAATCTCCAGGATCTCCGGCCAAACTGGCCTGGAGAAAAATTGCTTCCTGACCCCAAAGGGGTGATCGGCATTTCCTTGCGCATGTAAGAAAAGGCCACAAGAACCAAGCACTGAGGCAACCAACCCTTCCTGCCCTCCCTCTTGTGACCTGCCTAAGTTCACAGAATCTGCATTGTGTCAGATGGCCGTCTAGCCTCTGCTTGAAAACCTCCAGAGAAGGAGAGCCCACCACCTCCCGAGGAAGCCTGTTCCACTGAGGAACCGCTCTTCGCTCTGACTGTCAGGAAGTTCTTCTTAATGTTTAGCTGAAAACGTTTCTGATTTCATTTCAACCTGATGGTCCTGCTCCAACCTTCTGGGGCAACAGAAAACAACTCTCACCATCCTCTAGATGACAGCCCATCAAGTACTTGAAGCTGGTGATCATATCCCCTCTCAGTCGTCTCCTCTCCAAGCTAAGCATACCCAGCTCCTTCAACCTTTCCTCACAGGACTTGGTCTCCAGACCCCTCACCATCTTCGTTGCCCTCCTCTGCACACATTCCAGCTTGTCTGCATCCTTCTTAAATTGTATTGCCCAAAACTGAACACAATACTCTAGGTGAGGTCTCACCAGAGCAGAGCAAAGCGGTACCATCACTTCGCGTGATCTGGACACTGTACTTCTGTTGATATAGTCCAAAATCGCATTCGCCTTTTCAGCTACCAGATCACTCTGCTGGCTCATGTTTCATGTATGGTCTATTTGTGGAACTGGCTGCCACAGGATGTAGTTGTGGCCTCCAACTTGGAAGGCTTTAAGAGCGTAATAGACAAATTCATGGAGGTCAGGGCTATCGACGGCTACTAGTCATGAAGACATGAAGCTGCCTTATCAGACCGACAGTCCATCAAGGTCAGTATTGCCTACTCAGACTGGCAGCCGCTCTCCAGGGTCTCAGACTGAGGTCCTTCACATTATCTCCTGCCTGGTCCTTTTAACTGGAGATGCCAGGGATTGAACCTGGGACCCTTCTGCATGCCAAGCAGATGCTCTGCCACTGAGCCACAGCCCCTCTTTACAGCTCTCCAGGGTCTCGGGCTGAGGTCTTTCCCATCACCTCCTGCCTGGTCCTTTTTAACTGGAGATGTTGGGGATTGAACCTGGGACCCTTCTGCATGTCAGGCAGATGCTCTACCACCAAGCCAATCCTCCAAGAGCTCACAGTAGCCCCTGTAAGAAGAGCTCTGCAAGCTCTTGGAGGATTGGCTACATTAGGGGGTGTGTCACCTAATGTAGCCAATCCTCCAAGAGCTCCAATATGCAAAAGAGTTCCTGCTACAAAAAGAGCCCTGCCACACCCCTAATGTAGCCAATCCTCCAAGAGCTTACAGTGGCCCCTGTAAGAAGGGCTCTGTAAGCTCTCGGAGGATTGGCTACATTAGGGGGCGTGTTATCTGATATGCAAAAGAGTTCCCGCTACAAAAAGAGCCCAAGAGTCATCAATGGGCCGGATCCCTCCCAACGGCAAGCGTGACTACCGACCTGATATATTTTGAAGTGTTTTAAATTTTACTGCGTCTATTAAAATGTTGTAACCCACCCTGAGCGAAAAATAAATATAATAATAAAGAAATAGAGGCAGCCGGTCGGCCGCTGTGTGAACGCAATGCCAGACTCCGTGGGCCTTTGGTCTGATCCAGCAGGGCTCTCCCTACGTTTCTATCCAAAGGTGCGCTGCAACAGGGAAGAACCAACAACTTACTGGTTGTCCGGGAACAGGAGTTCCTCTTCCGCCAGCTGGTCGTCCTGCATTTTACTGACCTTCGCCTCCTTGGCCACTGCCAGGGGGAAGGCCTCTGCCGTCTTGGGTGAGTAATCGGCACCTGGAAGGAGGAGGAACCCACTCTAAGCAACGGCCGGTTTGGAAGCCTCATCATGCCGGGAGTGGGGACCAGGCGGCTGTCTTTGTGTGGCCAGTGGCCAGTTTGGTTGTAGTGGTTAGGCGCGGCGGACTCTAATCTGGGAGAACCGGGTTTGATTCCCCACTCCTCCTCCACATGCAGCTGCTGGTGTGACCTTGGGTCAGTCACAAGTTCTCCGAGAGCTGTTCTCTCAAGTGCAGTTCTCGAGAGAGCTCTCTCTCAGCCCCACCTACCTCACAGGGTGTCTGTGGTGGGGAGGCTGCAGAGGTGAGCACTGACCCCTTTGACCCAGTTTGGTGCAGTGGTTAAGTGCGCAGACTCTAATCTAGGAGAACCGGGTTTGATTCCCCACTCCTCCTCCACTTGCAGCTGCTGGGTGACCTTGGGTCAGTCACAAGTTCTCTCAGGGCTGTTCTCTCAAATGCAGTTCTCTCAGAGCTCTCTCAGCCCCACCTACTTCACAGGGTGTCTCTTGTGGGGAGGGGGAGGGAAAGGAGATTGTCAGCCGCTCTGAGACTCCTTCGGGTAGTGAAGGGCCATGGGGTATAAATCCAGTCTCCTCCTCCTTCCTTCTCCCCAGTGGATAACAGGTATATCCAACGGGATGCTTTCCTTACCCAGGTTGTCGCGAAGAGCGCTGGCCTCCGCGTGGTAGTCGAAGTTGTAATTGGGGACCAGCTTCAGCCTCATCCGGGAGTAGGTCTCGGCACTCGAGAGCTTCCAGTGCATCTCCGGAGGGCTCCTAGAGAGAAGGGGAGGGGGTGATTCAGACGCAAAGACCTTCGGCCTCAAGGGGGAAAAGGTCCTAAGCAGGGCTCTTTTTGTAGAAAAAGCCCAGCAGGAACTCATTAGCATAATAGGCCACACCCAACAGCAGGAACTCATTAGCATACTGGGCCACACCCCTGACAGCACAGCTCATTAGCACATTAGGCCGCACCCCCTTGTTACCAGAAGTGTGGTTATCCAGCCACACCCACTTTTTGCTTGTTATTCTGTTTACCTTGTTTGTTGTTAAAACCCAGGGCTTTTTTTGTAGCAGGAACCCTTTGCATATTAGGCCACACACCACTAATGTAGCCAATCCTAATGAGTTTTTGCTGTTGCGTGTGGCCTATTATGCTAATGAGGTTCCTGCTGGGCGTGGCCAAATTGGGAGCCAGCCGGAACTCTGTTCCTGTGCGTTCCTGCCCCCAAATAGCCCTGGTGGTCCCAGTTTGGGACATCTAGCTCTAGCAATCACCATGAAAACTCTGTGGTACCATAGAGTTTTCAGGGTGACTGCTAGAGCATCGCCCAGTGACATGCCCAGTGTGATGACGTCACTTCCAGGCGACGTCATCGCGCCGGGCACATTGGCCTGATCTGGCCACTTCGGGGGTGGGGTTCCCCCCGCCAGCCAGATCCGGACTGGTGGATTGGGGGCCCTTTGAGTGGGGGAACCCCTGCCCCCCTGGGGGACCTGGCGGCCCTAAATCCACGCAACCAATCAGAACTCTGTTGGCCAATCAGAAGCCTTGCTAGAAAGCGTCCCACCCGGCCCTATCCACTCTCTAGAAACACTGGGTGGGCACTGGGAAAGGTTTGGGTGGGCGCTGTGTTGGGGAACCCTGGGTCTAGGCTGATAGATCACTCTGTCAAGAGAGATCCTGACCCGGCTGGAGGAGAAAAAAACGCAGCCCCCTACCGGTCGGCCCAGGCAGAGCGCTGGGAGGTCAGCAGGCGCTTCAGAGCCCTCCACTGCTTCAAGACGGTGTTGTGATGGTTGTTGACTTGCTTCAGCATGTTGGTGTGCCGGATGTTCTCGTACTTGGCTCGCTTCATCACCGGTTCCAGGACGAGCTCCTAGCCAAACGGGATGGGGGAGGAACTCAAGGCACGACAGCGCAACAGGGCAAGGAAAGGAAGGAAAACGGAGGGGGGATCTGGCTGAGTGGCGGGAGGCAGTACGGGGTCCCACGGGGACAGACGGGGGAATCATCGAATCACAGAGTTGGAAGGGGCCACCCAGGCCATCTAGTCGAGCCCCCCGCTCAATGCAGGATCAGCCTAGAGCATCCCTGACAAGCGTTTGGCCGGCCGCTGCTTAAAGACGGCCATCAATGCCATAATAGGTTTTCAGATAATCACATGTTTGCTCAGATTTCCTCCCTGCCGCTATTGGAGGAGGAGAGGAGATTGGATTTATGCCCCGCCCTTCACTCAGAGTCTCAGAGGGGCTTACAAACTCCTCTCCCTTCCCCTCCCCACAACAGACACCCCGTGAGGTGGGTGGGGCTGAGAGAGCTCTTGACAGAAATGACTCTTTATTCAAGGACAACTCTTATCAGAACTAGGGGGGCGGGGGCCCTCCACAGCCACCCCCACGTGGCGCTGGGGTCCAGTTTGGTGCCCTAAGGGCCGGCCCGCGCTCTAGGCAAATGCCTAGTTTGCCTAGCGGGTGAGCCGGCCCTGCTCTTGGGGTCCAGTGCCAGGTCTGGTACCAAAATGCTGTGTGCGCAGACAAGCACTAAAGTTTGTGCCCTCTGCACGAACACAGGCGAACTCTCCCCCCACCGCACCGACCTGGAACTTCCTCCTGCTCTCCGCTTTCTCCTTCTCCCTCCTCAGCGAACTGCTCATCAGGGCGTCGTAACAGGAGTTCCAGAAGTTGGACATGTGGTCGTGGCTCTTGGCAAAAGTGTCCATTTCAAACTGGGTCATGTTGGGCTGCACCTGCCGAGGGAGAGCCAGACGGGAGAGTGAGGGAGCCGCTTTGACCTCCTGAGGGCAGGTCGATGCCCCCAAATTAAGCCCCTCAGTCGCCTCTGAGACGCAAATTAAACGTTACACCAGCCATGGGTGGCCACCAATGGCATTTAAAGTAGAATTTGACAGTTTAACATAATGCTGTGAGGGCCTGAGAAAGATTAACTTCAGAAGAGCCCTGCTGGATCAGACGAGTGAGGGTCAATCTAGTCCAGCCTCCTGTCTCACACAGGGGCCAACCAGTCCCTCTGGAGGGCCAGCAACAGGGCAGAGAGGCCAAGGCCTTCCCCTGATAAGAACCTCAGATGAGCCCTGCTGGGTCAGACCAGGGAAGGGTTTATCTAGTCCAGCATCCCGTCTCACACGATGGCCAGCCAGTTCCTCTGGAGGGCCAACAACAGGGCAGAGAGGCCGAGGCCTTTCCATGATAAGAACACCAGAAGAGCCCTGCTGGGTCAGAGCAGGGAGGGTCCATCTAGTCCAGCCTCCCGTCTCACACAGGGGCCAGCCAGTTCCTCTGGAGGGCCAACAACAGGGCACAGAGGCCGAGGCCTTCCCCTGACAAGAACCTCAGAAGAGCCCTGCTGGATCAGACCAGGGAGGGTCCATCTAGTCCAGCCTCCCGTCTCACACGGTGGCCAACCAGTTCCTCTGGAGGGCCAAGAACAGGGCAGAGAGGCCGAGACCTTCCCCTGACAAGAACCTCAGAAGAGCCCTGCTGGATCAGACCAGGGAGGGTCCATCTAGTCCAGCCTCCTGTCTCACACGGTGGCCAGCCAGAGAGGAGCTCTCTGTCTGGGGCAAGTGATGCTCTGTCTTCTTGGCGCTTGGGGGGTGGGTAACAGTGGGAGGGCTTCTGGTGTCCTGGTCCCAATGCTGGACCTCCTGATGCCCCCTGGTACTTTTGGCTACTGTGTGACAGAGTGTTGGACTGGATGGGCCATTGGCCTGACCCAACGTTGGCTTCTCTTATGTTCTTATGTTCTTGAAGCTTAATCGACACACCCCTAATGTAGCCAATCCTTCAAGAGCTTACAGTGGCCCCTGTAAGAAGAGCTCTGTAAGCTCTTGGAGGATTGGCTACATCAGGGGTGTGTCGCCTAATATGCAAAGGAGTTCTCGCTACAAAAAGAGCCCTGGGCGACACACCCCTAATGTAGCCAATCCTCCAAGAGCTTACAGTAGCCTCTGTAAGAGCTCTGCAAGCTCTCGGAGGATTGGCTACATTAGGGGTGTGTCCTGGGCGACACACCCCAAAAAGAGTCCTGGGTGACACGCCCCTAATGTAGCCAATCCTCCAAGAGCTTACAGTGGCCCCTGTAAGAAGAGCTCTGTAAGGTCTCGGAGGATTGGCTACATTAGGGGTGTGTCACCCAGGACTCTTTTTGGGGTGTGTCGCCCAGGACACACCCCTAATGTAGCCAATCCTCCGAGAGCTTACAGTGGCCCCTGTAAGAAGAGCTCTGTAAGGTCTTGGAGGATTGGCTACATTAGGGGTGTGTCGCCTAATATGCAAAGGAGTTCCTGCTACAAAAAGAGCCCTGCTCAGCGTTATGGTGCTCAACCCAACCTAAACCCTGCCTGTCGTAAGAGGCTGTTCTATCTGATCTCCGGGACCGCGCTCCTTTCTTTCGGACCCTACGAGATCCGCGCGCTCTCTTTCTCGCCCGGTGCCACTTACCTGCTTCTCCATGAAGGCCTTCCACTCCGCCGTGGTGCAGAACTCCTGGAAGTCCTCGAAGAAGGTGCCGCTGCCGTTGGTGGGGGGCAGCGAGGGGAGGAAGTGTTGGAGCTGTAGGGCCTCGTAACACTGGTCCATCAGGGTGCGGATGATGGGCACCAGCCCGGACAAGGCCTCCGACTTGGTGTGCAGCAGGCGCCGGAGGGGAGTCTCCAGCTTGCCCAGCAGGTAGCAGGCTTCTTCCTTCTTGAGAGCCGAGGCCGTCTGGAGGAAGTTGTGGAGCTTCGCGTAGGCCAGGGACTGCAGCTGGAGCAGGGAAACGGAAATGGGTGGACCAGAAGCACCGGCAGCAAACCGGAGCAGGCAAGGGTCCTGTCCGTGCTGCAGAAGGAATCGGGGCCAGCGGGGGGGGGGGGGGGGCGGGGTTCAGATTCAAGCCCGCCATCCTGCAAATGCATCCCACCCAATGCTCCCGCCAAGCTGTGGAGTCTTGTGAGCAAAAATCCTACTTCGTCAGCTCCTGGCATTAAAGTGGTGAGCGAGCGATTTGGCTGCTGCATCAGTTAGTTTGCTCCGGAGCCATCCTTCCTGAGCTAAGACAAACACGTGTGAGCTGGAGGCTAGAAAACTGTGAGCTCGCTCACACTCACTCAGCTTAGAGGGAACACTGGTCCCAAGTTGCTCGGGAGAAAGGCGTAAAGGTAAAGGTTCCCTTGCTCTAAAGCCAGTAGAGTCCGACTCTAGGGTTGCGGTGCTCATCTCCGTTTCAAAGCCAAGGAGCCAGCGCTGTCCGAAGACATTTCCGTGGTCATGTGGCCGGCATGACTAAACACCAAGGTGCACGGAACGCTGTTCCCTTCCCACTGAAGTGGTACCTATTCATCTACTTGCAATTTCTTGCTTTCGAACTGCTAGGTTGGCAGGAGCTGGAACTAGAGGCGGGAGCTCACTCCGTCATGCGGCACACTCGGGTCTCGAACTGCTGAACTACCGACCTTCCACAGCCTGCAGTTCAGCTGCCTGATACTGAATCAGACCATCAGTCCACCCAGGTCAATATTGTCTACTCAGACTGGCAGTGGCTCTCCGGGGCCTTGAGCAGAGGTCTTTCACATCACCTCCCAATGGATCGTTTTAGCTGGAGATGCTGGGGCTGAACCTGGGACCTTCTGCATGCCAATTCCTACATGTTAGTTAGTTTCCAATTCATTATAAGACAGCTTTATGTGAGGGACTGTGGCTCAGTGTCAAGTAGCCCTGTCATAGATCTGGAATGTGGATCTGGAATGTGCCCTCCTCCTCGTTCTCTGCTCTTCCCTGTCCAGCTACTGAGTGCTATCTCATGCTTGACCTTGTTGCCTCCAGCTGCAGTTTATTCAGCTGGGAAAGCTAACGGCTTTTTTGCTTTGCCCCGCTTGCTTTTGCCCGCGCGAATTATATCCATTGGCTTACGCTTCCAGGGGGGATGTTTCATTTTACTATAAGTCAGAGGCCCTTATACTGTCAGCCATTCCTGACACAAGCTGTACACGTGTTCTTTAGTTCCGAATCCACTAATAAACAGTTAACTTCTTATGAAGCCTTGTGTGGTGTGACCTGACTAGGGAACCTGACGCTCAGTGGAAGACCATCTGTACTACTCTAATATCTCCTGAGGAAGATCCAATTTTGAAATGTCGTTCTATAATCCAGAGACGACGTTGATGGTGTACCTATGCACAAGGGTTTTCTTATGATTTATTAACGACGTTGTAGTGCTTTAGATTGTAATACATAGGAAGCTTTTTCTTTGCAAGTCTGGGGGACCGCTTGATTTGTGGGTCAGACTCCCACGACTGTTGTCTTTATACTTGTTTTCTGATTGGGTCGTGATTGCCCATATTTATCTTATATAGAGTTGGTCCATTGGTCCATCAGGCACAGTCATAGCTCTGTCTGCCAGTCTTCTGCTGGCACCACACCTTAAAAAGGATATTATAGCTTTGGAAAAAGTGCAGAGAATGGCAACTCGAATGATAAAAGGGTTGGAACACTTTCCCTATGAGGAAAGGTTAAGGCGCTTAGGGCTCTTTAGCTTGGAGAAAAGACGACTGAGGGGTGACATGATTGAGGTTTACAAGATTATGCATGGGAAAGAGCAGGTAGAGAAAGAGGTACTTTTCTCCCTTTCTCACAATACAAGAACCCGTGGGCACTCCATGAAATTGCTGAGCGGTAGGGTTAGGATGGATAAAAGGAAGTACTTCTTCACCCAAAGAGTGATTCACACATGGAATTCACTGCCACAGGAGGTGGCGGCGGCTACAAGCATGGACGGCTTCAAAAGGGAATTAGATAGAATTAGAGCAGAGATCCATCAGTGGCTCTTAGCCACAAGGTATAGATAGGGGCTCTGGGGCAAGTGATGCTCTGTCTTCTCGGTGCTTGGGGGGGGTCAACAGTGGGAGGGCTTCTAATGTCCTGGCCCCACTGGTGGACCTCCTGATGGCACCTGGTGTTTTTGGCCACTGTGTGACACAGAGTGTTGGACTGGATGGGGCTTTGGCCTGATCCAACATTGGCGTCTCTTATGTTCTTATGAGATTCACACCTTTGGGAGTCTGCCAACATCCAAGTGGGAAAAGAAGGCTGGAAAGGTCTCCGCTGGCACAATGACCCAGCCGCGATCTCGTCTCTTACCTGCGCATCCTCGAGCACGATGTAGCCGACGAGCAAGCGCAGGCCGATCTGCGCCATCTCCTTCAAGTCGGAAGTCCCGTTGGCCAAGTGGTACCAGACCGCCAACTTCTCCAGCAGGCTGTTGACACCCTCGTAGACCTGAAGTCACAGGGCAAAGGGAAGGACGACGGCCCACTTAAGAGGAATTCCAACCGTGGTTGTAACCAGAGTTGTCAACTCCAGGTTGGGGGGTGGGGTGGACCCTGTGGGTCCGCCCTCCGAAGAGTCTGCCCTCCGAAGAGTCCGCCCTCCAAAGTAGCCATTTCCTCCAGGGGAACTGATCTCTGTCATCTGGAAATCAGTTGTAATTCTGGGAGATCCCCAGGCCCCACCTAGAGGTTGGCAACACTATCCGTTTACCGGTATTGACCGGGTGTTTTTTTTTAAAAAACGTTAAGAGATTTTTAAAAAATTCATACATACAGAGAAAATTTTAAACAGTGTGTAGTCATAGAAACTTGAGGTCATACACCACGCTCCCTCTAAGCTGTGGAGTCTTGTGAGCAAAAATTCTACTTTGTGAGCTACCGGCATTAAAGTTGTGAGCAAGTGATTTGGCTGCTGCATAAAATTAGTTTGCTCTGGAGCCTTCTTTCCTGAGCTAAGAAAAAAAAATCTGTGAGCCGGAGGCTAGAAAACTGTGAGCTGGCTCACACTGACTCACCTTAGAGGGAACACTGGCCAATGCTCCCTCTAAGCTGTGGAGTCTTATGGGCAAAGATTCTACTTTGTGAGCTCCTGGCATTAAAGTTGTGAGTGAGCGATTTGGCTGCTGCGTACATTAGTTTGGCTCTGGAGCCATCCTTCCTGAGCGAAGACAAAAATGTGTGAGCTGGAGGCTAAAAAAATGTGAGCTGGCTCACACTAACTCAGCTTAGAGGGAACACTGGTCACACAGTTCTTTTTCTTAATTTTATTTTTATCAGTATCATAAACAAACTTCTACAAAGAACAAAGATCCAACAAAGTAACTAACTAACTAGCAGGTAGGCTGGACGAGATGGACCCTCCCTGGTCTGATCCAGCAGGGCTCTTCTGATGTTCTTCTCAGGGGAAGGCCTCGGCCTCTCTGCCCTGTTGTTGGCCCTCCAGAGGAACTGGCTGGCCCCTGTGTGAGATAGGAGGCTGGACTAGAGGGACCCTCCCTGGTCTGATCCAGCAGGGCTCCTCTGGTGTTCTTCTCAGGGGAAGTCCTCGGCCTCTCTGCCCTGTTGCTGGCCCTCCAGAGGAACTGGCTGGCCCCTGTGTGAGATAGGAGGCTGGACTAGATGGACCCCCACTGGGCTGATCCAGCAGGGCTCTTCTGGTGTCCTTCTCAGGGGAAGGCCTCGGCCTCCCTGCCCTGTTGCTGGCCCTCCAGAGGAACTGGCTGGCCCCTGTGTGAGATAGGAGGCTGGACTAGATGGACCCCCACTGGGCTGATCCAGCAGGGCTCTTCTGGTGTCCTTCTCAGGGGAAGGCCTCGGCCTCCCTGCCCTGTTGCTGGCCCTCCAGAGGAACTGGCTGGCCCCTGTGTGAGATAGGAGGCTGGACTAGATGGACCCCCACTGGGCTGATCCAGCAGGGCTCTTCTGGTGTCCTTCTCAGGGGAAGGCCTCGGCCTCCCTGCCCTGTTGCTGGCCCTCCAGAGGAACTGGCTGGCCCCTGTGTGAGATAGGAGGCTGGACTAGAGGGACCCTCCCTGGTCTGACCCAGCAGGGCTCTTCTTATTATACTGATGGAACCACCCACCTTCTCGCTCCACAAGGCCGGGTTGCTCTGGCCCTCCGAGAACAAGAAATCCTGAAGGAGGCGCAGGAGCTTCAGTGCGTTCTGGGTGAGGCTGGGCAGCATGGCGGGAGTGGACTCCTTGATGTCCGTCAAGGCCGACTCCAACATCATCTCCAGGAGACTGGGAAGAAACCAGAACGCACGAGATGAGAAAGCCGGGTCTTTGCCGACAGCTAATCATGTGCTACGATTTCTGGACAGCAGCTAACCATGCATCATTGATGGCTCATCTACTAAGCCAGAGAAGAAGAGATTGGATTTATACCCCGCCCTTCACTACCCAAAAGAGTCTTAGAGCAGGCTTACAAACTCCTTTCCCTTCCCCTCCCCACAACAGACACTCTGTGAAGTAGGTGGGGCTGAGAGAGCTCTGACAGATACGGCTCTTTTTTCAAGGACAGCTCTGATAGAACTATGGCTTGCCCAAGGTTGTCCAGCCAGGTGCAAGTGGAGGAGTGGGGAATCAAACCCGGTTCTCCCAGATTAGAGTCCGTGCACTCAACCACTACACCAAACTGGCT